AAATAAACTATGAGATGAGACAACCCCAAAACGTGGCAGCTAGCTAAAGAAATGACTAAGAGTCATTCTTGATTAGGTGGCATAATGTTACTAATTCTTACAACAAAACTCTTTCTACAAATAAGTCATTTCTTACATTTCCCATACCAAAGACTATGCCATCAGATAGTTAAGCATTTTTACAACAAACACTTCTTTCAACCAAGATCAACGTTAGCCATTCAACCAAAGTTCTTACACCCAAAATGTTAGCAAGCTGTCAACAAAACATCTTTCCACCAAAATCCAACGAGGATTATTGGAAGCTAACAACGTAAAAATTTTACGGTTCTAAAGGAGTACGGTGTAATCTTTTTTAAAAATTATTATACGGATTTCATTCTACTCCAGGTAAGTTAAGGCTACGTTATTCCTTCATTTCACATGATCTAGTAATTACACAAGTTTGATAAGGAGACATAAAGAAAAATTTCATATCCTGAAATTTACGTATATTTTCCTAGTCTTGTAAGTTTATTTCCGATAATAGTGTATATGTTCCATGGATCTCATATGAGCAGAAATTCTCAAAGGTTGGCTTATACCAATATCATAGGATGCAAAGTGTCATTTTTTCTCATACATGAGTTCCATAACAAATTTAAACAGAACTTTTAGAGTTAATTTATTAAAGAGACAGAAAAATTCCAATGTATTCACGTTCCTTTAATTGATTCTCTCTATAACTGTGTCATCTTTCACTTTGCACAGACAGACCAAAAGAAAATGAAAAACTACTCAATCAATAGTGATAATATTCTCTTTATCGGGACTTCATATTAAATTGAGTGTTTCCTTCTTCCAGTCAAGACAACAGAGAGTCTATATATACAGTGTTACAGTATTTTCATTACCGTCGAGCTATAATTGATGGGCAGGCCGTTATTGGGCAACCTCTGATCAGATGGTAAGTTATATACCGAGCCTAATGTGGTCGAGCGCCTATGAGCGAGCCCAGTTGGTCGAGATACAAAGCCTAGTATGGCCGAGCGCCTATGAGCAAACCTAAACTATTTTACTTATTATATTGAGGGAATAGTGTCACTATCAGTATGTGAGCATATCTTCAGATTTTCTTGGACTCCTAGTTGCTTTCAGTTATTATATTATCAGTTCAGTTTCAGCTTTCAGTATATCGCCTTACATACTCGGTACATTATTTCGTATAGACGTCCCTTCTGGGGGAGCTGCATTTCATGCGTCCAGGTTCAGACAGACAGACGGTTAGACCTCCTCAGTAGGTGTTGCCCGAGTTCAGCTTTATCAGTGAGCTACCCGTCCTTCGAAGTTGCCGGGTCTAGAAGTTTGGTGCACATCTTGTACATATATGTAGATAGGTTATGGGTAGGTCGGAGCCCTGTTCCGATCACAGTACATCTATCAGTTGAGGCTTGTAGACATATCCTGTCAGTTAGTGCAGTATGTTGGGCTTGTAGGCCCTTTATGTATATTTTGTTGGCTTGTCAGTTGTAGTAATTATGACGGCCCTACCGGCCCAGTTGTATGTTGACATTTATTCAACGTTAGTCTCTATGCAGCTTTATATTTTACATCGCACATTATCTTGTATTGTGGCTCATGGCCAAAGTATGACATTATATATCAGAGTCTCTTAGTCGCAAGTGATACGCAAGAATAAGTGAGGCACTGGGTGCCGGTCTCGTCCCCAGGCTCGGGGCGTGACAAAACCAAACCTCCCGGCAAATCACGTAACCAGAGAATGACATAGAGGGAGCAATAAGTAGGGGTTGGGGGCTAATACTTTCAAAACGACCGGTTAGATCGTTACAATTCGAAAGTTAATGAGACTTAATTTTTTTCCCCTAAGCCATTCTAAGGCTCCGTAAAGTAAGGAACACTAAGAATTGGGAGTGGCCGACTTATTTCCTCCCTTAATCTAAAGTTTGGCCCAATATATACATTCTTAATCAAGTAAATGGTATTTACAAACCTCATATACTGTCGGCCACGTTTTCGGCCTTCAAGTCAAACAAAAGTTTGGTTATTCCATCCATAAGCTCTATTTCCATATTTAACGTTAAATTAGTCCAAAATGATGGGGGTATTACAATACACTGTCGAGGGAGCCACAACAAGAAGATTGCAAAGCAACTGAAAATCATGAATTTCTATCCTTGAAAATTATCCTGGAGGGAAATAGTTAGAAGAACAGTAGGATAGTATTGATATTTTTGTAGTAATGAGTCTGAAGATTTCCTTAATATTGAATATATAATATTAGAAGCAAGGAGTGGATAATAGATAAATGTTTTAGCAGGTTTTTAGAGGTGGATTGTTGACCATCTCTAGGGGTTTTTGTTATACTTATACATATTTTACCCTTGGTAATACAGTTACTTATTTACCAAAAAAATAAATCATAATAAACAAATAGTTATAGAGGAAGAATACTAAAAAAAATCAAGCAATAGCGTAAAAATATATGTACTAATTATATTTCTCATGCAGGAAATTTTAGTTAATAAATAAAACTCATAATTTCATAATGAAAAATACAAAAATATAGAGATACTATTAGGATATTAAACAGAAGATAAGCATATTATATATATAACACAAATTAATAATTATTTAAATATTGGTAGGGTTTTAAAATAATAAAAACCTTATCTCTTTATACTTTTGTTGCATACAAAATTACAATATAGTAAAAAAAGTATTACATTTTTTAAATTTTCAATAAACTATAAAATTGAGAAAACTAATCAAAGGTTACAGTAGAAAGGAATGAACAAAAAGAGGGAGATAAAGATAATTTTACGATATTTATATTTTTCATAAATAAAAAAATAAAAGATAAATAAATAACACTCAAAAAAATATCAACAAATTTAGACAATTGAAAAATTTAGAACAATATAATATACGTTTAAAAAAAGATATTTCCAGAGATAAGAAAATATATATCCATGTTATATTAAAGGAGAAGTAGTATTAAAATACCCATTAGTAAATGTATAGTTCTAAGTACTTACTAATTCAACAATAAAAATAAATAAGGAGCAAATAATTTATTTGATTATTATATACTGTGTATCCTTTAATTTTGTATCGATTTTGTTATATTTCCACACACTATATTAAATAATAAAATACAGCTTATTAAAATAATATGTTTATTAGATCAGAATTTTATAAAAATAATATTCTGTCAAACTATCCGCACATCGCGCGAATTCTAATACTAGTTGTATTTAGAAACTGCGTTTTCTGGGTGACACGCTTAACAAAATGACACAGATTATTTCATTTTATGAATATAACTACTTGCATCTAGCTCATGAAGAGTTTATTTTCTTTTTTCTTTTGGCAGTTAGGGGTCAATTCAGTCGCGACGTTTATTTTTCCAAAGCTCCAAATTTGAAAATGATGTTTCTTTTTTCTTTTTGTGTTCTATCCGGTATTCGGTAATCACTTTGAAATTTAACTAATTTGGAGTAGAATATTATCTACTAAAAGCGACTTTATATTTAGGATTCAAACTCAAAGATTTTTATTAAAAATTAAGAGAAAAAAAGTAGCACATCCTATCACATGTCAGCCTACTTACCATTTTAAACTGGTAAAGTAGCACATCATCATCTGATTTATGGAAGTTATCTTTTATTTGAATGCTTAGTTAGTTTGTTTGATGTTAATTAATTTCATGGAATTTATATATANAATTATCTTTTAATTCAAATTATATATATATATATATATATATATTTGATTTAATCAATCCTTTCTTCCCTGAAACCTAGATTAAGATTATTATTGTGTTTGTAAGAGTTCTAATAACCAATCTTGAGTTCTTGTATTTTGTCTTAACTATTTCTAATTCTTGATCTATCTTGTTGGCCTCGAAAATATGAGTAACAACTAAATTTGATTTGTGGTTTTAAAGATACGTGATTTAATTCATTACCAGTTAATAATAAAGAAGTATGAAGTAGAAACGAAAGAGAAAAGTGAATCAAACCAACGTTGCTCAACAACAATGACCTCGAGCCCAGGGAATGCCCCGAGTGACGAGCTCGTGGCCATGACAACAGGTCACTCCCTTTCTTTGCCAACTTATTCCGAGGACGCAATAGAAGAAGCTAACGCTCTGCATATGCCCGATCCGAGCAAGGTCCTCGAAGAAGATCCCTTTCAGAGTTGCTTTGCTGGGGTCGATGATACCGCCGACCTTAACGATGCATCCACCCTCTTCGAAGAGGCCCAGCGTCTCATGTCCCGGGTAAATACTTACTTTATTTTTGTAACTTTCTCTTTCTTTCTTTTCCTTTGACTGATATATTTTCCTTTCATGTATAGGCCATTGTAAAGCTTATAGCTGAACTGAGCCAATGTGCGGCCGAGCTCAAGAATGTTTCAGGCGAAGTGAAGACCCTGAGGCTCCTCTGTAGCCAAAAGAAGGAGGAGCTTAAGGGTCTCCGGGTTGAATTGGCCAAAGCCCAGAAAAATGACGCTGAGCTAGATGAGCAGGTAACTGTGATATTAACAGGGTACGGTCTTCTTGGCCCTACTTCGGAGGCTATCACTTCGCTATCTCTGCTGCAGCAAAAGTTGGAGATGAATGGGCGGCTCCGGAGCGAGGTTGATCAAGTTAAAGCTGATTGTCATAGGTGGAAGAAGAACATGGATCAACTTGCTGCCGATAAGAAGGATGTTACAGCCCAACTAGCCTCGGGTGAAACTCAGCTCCGAGGCATTAAAGCGAAGGGTCTGGCTCAGGCCAAAAAGATTGAGTAGTTAGAGGCAGAGCTCGCTAGAGTCCGGGCCGAAGCTGTGCAGGCTAAGGCTGAAGCTGAGAAGACAAAGGTTGCGGCTGATAAATCCATTGTCGTATACCTAAGGGATCACTACAACAAATTAGACATTTAGTGGCAATTAATTAGCGGCAATAGCTTAATTGCTGCCGATTTATATTCTAGAGTCACTAATTGCCGGCATTTAAACTTTAGTCGGTAAAAGAAGTACTTTTTAGTGACAAAAAAATATAGTCCAGAAAGAGAAAAACTAGACTTTTCAATTCAAGTTGTGTGCCCTCCAATTCGCTTTAGCTTCCCTCCAATTATTTTTAATGTGCCCTCCAATTCTCTTTAGCTTCCCTCCAATTATTTTTAGTCTCTAAATTCCCCTAATTCAAATCTGAAGCCTACGATCTCTCTCTCAGTGTCTCTCTCTCCATTTCTCTTCCTCTGATCGGTGAGTGTCTCTTCAATTCAACTTAGTTATTCTTTGACCTACTTCTCGGTTTTCCTAAAACTGTACTTACGATTCAGCTAGCATTTTAGTTGAGTTTAGTGTAATATCAATCAGATCTCGATCTTATATATGTTTATACTTTATACTGTTAGTGTATATAATGTCTTTGCTCGTTGTTTTAATTTCGATTTTTGTATTAGATTTGGTGTTTTTACTCTACAATCCGAAGTTGTTCTAGGCTTTGTATTTCAACTCTCGGTAATCTCCATAGCTTCTGTAAGTTTAGCTCAATTTTGAACTTTTTCTTACAATATGAAATCTCTGCTCTCTTCTCCATACTGTCTGAAATTTCTTATGGTTAAGGTTAGAAATTTTCCTTCGCAGATTCACACAGAACATTCCCTTCACTATTCACCAGCAGTAGTCGGGCTCGGACAATAAAGTTTTGTGGTAAGAATGTGAATATCATGTGAATTTTTGTACTTCTCTATATACCCATTTTATTATTAAAATTGGAAACTTATGAATCTGATTTGAAAAAAACAATGATTTGATTATTTTGCTATGTTACAACTTGTTATGTAAATGAAATTAGCCCCATAAGGAATAGTCTAATGTGCTTATGTCATGTTGCTATGTTTTGTGATGTATTCTGTTTCATTTGATGAGCCTTTTAGAACTTGTGTTATGTCCAAGTGTTTTTAATGAGAGACTAGTTTGTTGGATTGAAGGACCTCATTAGTTGATGTTAGAATCGAATTAAATTACTTGAATCGAGGATTCTTGTTCTCGCATGCAAAGCAAAAGTTTCAAAACATTTAATTCTTGAAGAAGATAACATGTCAAAGAAGACAAAGTTAACCCAACAAAGGAGTAGGCATGCGCTAACTAGGCAGCAAAGAGTTTTAAATGAATTTGTGCAGGGCAAAAAGAATGTTTGAGCTAACACCTAGATAAGCAAACATAATTGGAAGGTTGTAATGGTAAGGAGTAGTGATACCTTTAATAGTATAGTCAGGGAAATAGAGCATATGAAAGATTTGAATGCCTTGAAGATGCACAGGAACATGACAACCTCAATAGCTGAATTGAACAAATCACTATGGAAGTAGAATTAACATGAGACCTACCTATTACCCTATAATTTTGTTTGTTGTATTACGTTCTTAACTTTGTTTTCCAACAAGATATTGTTTTCATCAACAACAAATTTAGGTTTATCACTTTAACTACTGAGGATCACTTATTGTGTGATCACTTATTCAAATGATATTATCATTAAACAATTAATGTTGCCAACAACAGGGGGTGCTTAAATCATAGTAGAAGGTGCATACATTTGGCAGTTCAGGCAACTTCGGAAAGTAGCTTACAGGTTTTGATTTTGACACTTGGCTGAAAGAAAATTCTTAAAGACATTTTCTTTATGACTTCTACAGGTTCTTGAAAATAAATTAGTACTTAAGTTTGGAGATGAAATATGAGAACTAGAGTTGGTAGTAGATTGGTTACTGGACCACGTCATGATGAAGTGGCGCGGCCCTATATTGAGCAAGTAATGAATGCTCAAAATTGCTCTCAAGCCCAAACATATGATGAACAATCTAGCAATTTGAACAATTCTGTTGGCATTGCTGCTGAGCAGTAAAATGAATCATGTTCTGTTCTTTTTTTTTCTGGGACTTAAATTTTGTATCCTTGAATTAGGGTCCTCTAGGTTGGGTAGTGCCAAGTGAAAAATTTGTTCTAGTAACAAGATTAGCAGGACAAAGCATGGTGGTGTGTGTCAACATGATCTTCACAACCCTCATTGCATAGTGCTTCTGGTGTCACTCTTTCACCTTAAATATGGGATATATGTGTTGTTTGCAGCTTTGATATTATTTTGTACAAGCTCGCTCTATCTTTTCGGAAGAAATTCTCAATCCCAATACGTGGAGAAGAGTTTATAAAAAAATCAATAGGGAAGAAATGGAAGGACTATAAATGTGATCTGAAGACTATGTTATGTGACCAAATATAAGACCAAAGATGCCTTGATGAAAAATAAACCAAGCCACATACCAAAGGATCAATGGACTGGTCTTATCTCCTATTGGCTTTCCGATAAAGCAAATGTCAGTGAGTACTTTTTTAGTTAGCAATTCAGTGTAATTTAAACCTTTTAAGTGCTTGAGAAGATTATGTATTCTCTGCTGTCAAATAAGTTTGAAATTAAACAATCCTACATCAGAAGTTTTTGGAGTAGGAAGTGAACTGTCTGTAGTGGCATTAGGAGTTGCTTCTGTCTGCATATATTTGGATTGGTTGGAAGTAACTAACAATAGAGTATCTATTATTAGTTTTCCATTAAAAAGATCCGATTAATTCATCTAATTGGAAGGACTACTAACTAGCAAACCAATAATAAAAATTGTATTATACTTTCATAGGTCAGCAAAATCCAACATTGTTATCCTGATTCCAGATACATGAATATATCCCCTTTGTCACTTTGTTAATCAACAGGTGATACAGGGATTCACATACCTCCAAATATGTGAGAACTACTGGATAGGTTAGACTGGTAGCTTGGGGTATGAACTCAGTCAGCAATGCCCTCTATGCAATGATGCAGTTATGGATTTGTGATTTGTAGAAGCCCTCTATACCAGGTACCCAAATACTTGAGCCTAAGTCGATTTGTGATTTGTGATGTCCAACTATGTCAGTTTGTGATTTGCAGAGATAATTTTTTTTTTGTGTTTGCTATATTGTTATTTGTGATTTTTGGATGTTGTTAAATTGGCGGGCAACTGATTGAATTGATTCCTCTAGTTTTCCTAATGTTATATGTTTACTTTCGATTGTTATAAGCTATTTATAGCAGACTATAGTTAAAGAAAATCTTGTTAATTTAAGTGTAAAGTAATTCTATTTGAATTGTCGATTTAGGTGGATATGAACTATTCACTTTGTTAGCTTTTGATATCTCTTCGTGTTAATGCTCCATTGATTTGACTTGTTAATTTTTTTCCACATATATTTGTGACTTGGATTCTGTTCTAAATATGTTGTTAGTTCTTGAAGACAAGAGATGTGGTTTCTTTATCATTGTAGATCAATCTTTATCATTGTAGAGCTGATATTTTTCAGTAGAGCCTACTATACATAGTGGGCATACTGTTATACAACTGATACTCTATGAGTTAATCTTGAAGACAAGAGATGTGGTTTCTCTTTGTTAACTGTTAAGATGTATGTTTGGAATCATGAGTTTATACTTAAAACTAATAATCAACTGCAGAAGAACAACTGCACAGTTGTGCAACAACAGTAGAGGAACAACTACACAATTGTTCAACAACTGCAGAAGGACAACTATGTAGTTTTGCTACAACAGTTCTATTTTTTGGGTAGCATATGCTTCTCTTGGCTTTGTACTTATAGCAACCTTGAAAATTGTTTCTTTCAACTTATTAGGACACTCTTCTATTTATGTATTTGTATTTTTGTCGCACAATAAGGGGAAAATCTACATAAAGTTCATTGGGTCTGCATCTTCTGGTTGTGTTGCACATTGTGAAACTAACAAAACTTCGGCATTAGGATCAGTTGCTTCCTTCCTTTCATGTGATGATTCTTGATTTCCAACAGCCTTAACTTTAGTTCCAATATGAGCACTTTGTTGTAATTGTTTTACATTGTTGTGACATTTATAGTAATTCCTGCTTTGCTAGTCTCTTTCAGTAGCATAATATATCTGGAGTTAGGATCGTTGATGTCATTGGATGATTCGGATCTTTTTCATTTTAGGTAATTCAGAAGCAAAAAGGTTTGTGGCCTACTTTACTGAAATATATTTGGAAACTTTCATCGGAGAAGACAGTTGATGTGCCGTTTAATAAACGCCTCAAAGTAGTAATGCCACCTCTGGTGAACAGGTAACTCAATTTTATAAGCTTTAAACATTTTTAATGAAATTTTAATTATATAAAAGTATTATTACCTAACATGTTAGTATTTATTAGATCCCTGACGCCAATAGTGGACATGAACGAGTACCACAAACATCAAGGATACCTAGTATTACTGAAAATACATCACTTTATCTCATGACTTGTTTCAAGTTTATTTTGAATCATTGCTAATATCAAACGCCTCTCACAAAGACATCATCAGTTTATCTCTTTGTTAAATCTGGTTGTTGCCTTGTGAGTGTTACTAAACATTTTTCCATGTCTATGTATTAGCTTTTCAACTGAGATGTTAGCTCTTTCAGTGTGGAAACAAGCAAATGCTAGCCTTTGCTGGCTTTTCCCTTTGGAGAAGAATAGCTGGGACTAAAGGTCTCGGTAATTTCCTTTTGTGGGGCATATATTTCAAATTTTGACATAGTTATCTTGTAATTTCAGGTCATACATAATTTAGTGTGTGGAAGATTTCAAAATGATAAAAAATTGTGGAAATCATTTGAAGACCATCATTCGTTTGGATACAGCCTCTCTACCTGCATTAGGTAGGGGTAAGGTCTGCTTACAGACTACCCTCCCCAGACCCCACATGGTGGGATCAAACCGGGTTTGTTGTTGTAGTTATTTAGGTTGAACAATATAAGTTTATTTTTTAAGTTACTGTGACATTAATATCTTTTATTAGCACTTCCTTTTGATAAGATTTAATGAGATATATTATGTTTTTTTGAATTATTAATAACATATTTTATTATTTGGATCATATTTTAGACGAATGTAGTAACTATTATTAATGGTTGCCAAATTATTGCTATTACCGCTATATAAACGGACACTAAAGGAGTATATTAGCCGTTTTGGATTGAATTTGGTAGCCATTATAATTGCCACAAACAATTATCGTTAAAGATAAAAACTTTTAGTGGCAATTATTTTGAATTTAGCGGCTATCTAAATGAATACTACAGGAGTATAATTAGCCATTTTAGATTGGATTTAGCAGCCATTATAATTGCCGCAAACAATTGCATTAAAGATAATACTTTTTAGCGGCAATAAACCATACATTTTACCAGCTTTTGTTAGAAAAGCCGCTAAAGGCTTTGCCGACCCTGGCTTCAGCGGCTAAACAACAATGGCCGGTAAACGATATAGCGGCTATTGTTATTGCCGCTAAAGCCATTTTCTATTGCCGCTAAAGCCCATTTTTGTTGTAGTGGATGCCGCAGCCGTTCAAGATGAGTTGAGGGAGGCCTCCGACCGGGAAAAACAAAGCAACGAGTTAGCCAAGTTCCAGGCCCGGAGGGAGACCCTAGAAGAAATCCATGCCCGAGGGTTCAATCTTGCCGAGGAGATAGCCGAGGCAAAGGCGCGGGAAACTGATGCTAGGTTTTTTGGCTTTTCTTATGATGAGGATGTAGCGAATGGCTCCGGGGACGGGGAAGGTGAAGAAGACGTTCCCGAGGGAGAGGAGGCTCTTGAAGATAGAGTCGCCGAAGGTGTAGTTCCTGAGGACGGCGCTCTCGGAGAAACCGCGAAAAAGGATTAGGTTCTCTTTTCCTTTTCTGTGCAAGGGCTTCCTGCGGGCATTGTAAATATGTTTTTTAAAACATCCCTCATGAATATAAAGTATTTTTCGCTCTATCCTCAACTTGTGTTGAATTTTATTTTGTTTTCATTTGCGGAAGATTTCGATAATTCAAACAATGAGTACGAGTATTGATTCAGATTCATAACATAATAAACCCTTACGACTTTATCGATAGATATAATAATCCTCGAGCTAAGTTTAAATCGATTCGATGTGAGCTCGGGATATCGTGACTCTTGAATCTGGGTCGAGTGAGAATGGAGTCTCGAACTATAAGTGGTGGCCCTTAAGCCTTTCGAATAGGCCCTTGGGCTCTTATATATCGGCCCTTAGGCTCTTTAAGTTAGCCCATAGGCTCTTTAAATTGGGCCAATTCGGCCTCTAGATTGGCTACATAATTTTTTCCCGCATTTCGGCCAAAAGACTTAGTGAAAATTTAGTTATGCCTAAGCATGTGTTTTTTGTACCCGTTGGATTTTTGAAGGTTCGACGTATCGGGACCTTGCTTGTGTACTACTAATGGAATACCTCTTGAGGTTTTTCTGAAGGTTGATGTTATGGAAGCCTTTGAATCATTCGAGAGCTGACTTTATCGAAGCCCTTTATATTTTGCTTTTGCCGAGGGTAGCCTGATTTAACCGGTTTTTCAATGTTTGAAGGCCTTTATCTTATAGTGGAAATTGGACGTCTCCAAGCCGCATTGCTTAGGCCAAAGCCTTTATATATGACCGTAGTCTTTAATCTGGCCGTAGCCTTCGGGTGTGTCACTTGGACTCATTTCCCGATAACTTTTCGAACTTGTTTGAAAAGTTAGTCCCTGAGTATATTGACCTTGGACTTTGTTTTGAGGGAATGCCTCTTTGGTCTCTTATGGGTCCGAGTTTTTGGTGATTGGGATGTATTGACTGTCGATAACAGTCCCCGAGTATTCGGGGGTGCTTTTATGTTTTGGCTCTTGAGCCGTTTACCGTAGGATTATAAGTGTAGAGCTCGCATAATAGTAGAGTTTTTTGGGATACAAAGTGTTTTTGATATAAACAGAATGCTTCTTCAAGTAATTTCATACAAGAGTACATGTTTTGCCATCAAGGCTCGACTATTCTATATGGACACGGTTCATCTGATCATTTGGCCCATTACAAAGTTTTCCTATCGAGGCCCTTTTAGGCGTAAAGTATTTTCCTTGAAAATGTAATCTCCGAGGATGATTCCCCCCAATATTCGAGGTTGATTGAAAAGAAGCCTCGGATACTGTTGAGTTCTCCTTAGGTAGCACATAATTGTTGCCTCATTAAAAACCTTGCCGGTAAAACCCATTTGGGATAAAATCCATTCTAAGGAAAAAAGAGTGCAACGCATGCTTTAAAACCTAAGGCCTTCGTGTAAAAAAGGTATCGTCGAGATCGCGTATCTTCGATAGCTTAGATCGAAAATCTGTAATAAGTTAGTTTTAAACTCAAACAGAGAAAGGATAAAGTCGTACCTTAGCAGTACTATCGTTTGAGTAACGATAGGTTCCAGTTGTTTGGCAGTTGTTCACCTTCCATTGTGCTAAGTTTGTAAGACCCTTTACAGACAACTCTGAGGACTCGGCACGGTCCTTCACAATTCGGGCCTAGTTTCCCTTCATTAGGGTCTCGAGTGTTGAGGGTGACCTTTCGTAGAACTAAGTCCCCGATTCCAAAGTGTCGAAGATTAGTCCTTCTATTGTAGTATCTTTCGATCCTTTGCTTTTGTGCGGTCATCCGAACAAGTACTATTTCCCGCCTTTCATCTAATAACTCTAGGCTAGCATTCATAGCCTTGTGATTTGACTCCTCCGATGCATGTCGAAACCTGGCACTGGGTTCTCCAACCTCGACGGGGATGAGGGCCTCGGAGCCATATACTAAGGAAAACGGGGTGGCCCCCGTGCTGGACTTCGATGTTGTCCGATATGCCCAGAGGACCTCGGGTAAAACTTCTCTCCATTTTCCTTTTGCATCGTCCAATCTTTTCTTCAAGTTTTGAATGATAGTTTTATTTGTTGATTCAACCTGTCCGTTTCCAGTTGGATGGTATGGTGTCGATAGGATCCTCTTTATTTTGTGTGCCTCGAGTAACTCCGTCACCTTGTCGCCGATAAATTGTTTCCCATTGTCACACACTATCTCGGCAGGTATCCTGAATCGGCATATGATGTGGTCATAAATGAAGTCGATAACTTCTTTTTCTCTGACCTTCTCGAAGGCCTGTGCTTCCACGCACTTAGAAAAATAATCAGTCATAAACAGAATAAATTTGGCTTTACCTGGGGCCGTTGGTAGAGAACCGACTATATCCATCCCCCATTTCATGAAAGGCCATGGGGATAAGACCGAATGGAGTTGTTCTCCGGGCTGATGGATTATCGGTACGAATTGTTGACACTTATCACATTTTCTAACAAATTCCTTAGTATCTTTTTCCATGTTATCCCAGTAGTAACCTGCTCTGATAACTTTGCGAACCAAGGACTCGGTGCTGGAACGATTCCCACAAATGCCTTCGTGGATTTCTCGAAGGACATAATCGGTGTCCCCCGGCCGCAAACATGCCGCCAATGGACCATCGAACATTCTCCTATACAATGTCCCATCTTCATCCAATGCAAACCTAGCAGCCTTGGCACATAGGGCCATCGATTCTTTGTGGTCCCATTGCAGTTTTCCGTTCTTTAAATAGTCAACATACTTATTCCTCCAGTCCCATGTTAGACTTATTGAATTTATCTCGGCATGACCCTCTTCTACCACAGACCTTGATAACTGGACAACAGCCCCCAAGACAATGTCATCTTCTTCGACCGAAGATCCCAGATTGGCAAGCGCGTCAGCCTCGCTGTTTTGCTCTCGAGGCACATGATCCAGAGTGCACTTCTTGAAGCGGTGCAAAGTTATCGGTAGTTTATCCAAGTATTGTTGCATTCTATCCTCTCGAACCTCAAAACTTTTGTTTACTTGGTTTACAACCAATAGAGAATCGCACTTGGCCTCGATGATTTATGCTCCCAAGCTTTTAGCTAGCTCAAGACCTGCAATCATAGCCTCATACTCGGCCTCATTGTTAGTTAATCTTGGAGCTTTAATAGACTGCCTAATAATATCACCTGTGGGTTGTTTTATGACAATGCCAAGCCCAGACCCTTTCACATTCGAGGCACCGTCTGTGAAGAGGGTCCATACCCCCGATGTTGTACCAGAGCTTAACAGGAGTTCTTTCTCTACTTCGGGTACGAGGGTCGGCATGAAATCGCCCACGAAGTCAGCTAGGATTTGAGACTTGATGACCGTTCGGGGTTGATATTCGATATCTTACCCGCTAAGCTCGACGGCCCATTTGACCAATCGACCCAATAGCTCGGGCTTATGCAAAACATTTCGTAGGGGGTAAGTGGTCAATACACATATAGGATGACATTGAAAATATGGTTTCAACTTTCGAGATGCGCTTATCAATGCAAGTGCTAATTTTTTTAAGTGAAGCTACCTAGTTTCAGCATCTCCTAGAGTACGCCTTACGTAATAAACAGGAAATTGCATACCATGCTCTTCTCGAACTACTACCCCATTTACCGCTATCTCGGACACTACCAAGTATAAATAAAGCCTTTCATCTACCTTCAGGGTGTGAAGCAAAGGCGGGATCGACAGATACCGCTTTAATTCTTCTAAGGCCTATTGACATTTCGAGGTCCATGCAAAATCCTTCTTCTTTTTGAGCAAGGAAAAGAAACGGTGACTTCGATCTGATGACCTCGAAATGAATCGGCCCAAAGCAGCTATTCGACCCATTAACCTTTGCACAGCTTTCACGCTATCCACGACCTTGATATTTTCAATGGACTTGATTTTATCGGGGTTAATCTCGATACCTCGATTTGACACCATGAAGCCGAGGAATTTACCCGAACCGATTCCGAAGGCACATTTCTCCGGGTTAAGCTTCATGTTGTATTTCCTCAAGATTTCGAATGTTTCCTGCAAATGAGCCAAATGGTCCTCTGCGCGCAGGGACTTAACCAACATATCATTAATATAAACTTCCATTGTTTTACCTATCTGTTCTTTGAACATTTTTTTAAGTAAGGGATGGTATGTAGCTCCTGCATTTTTATGCCCGAAGGACATGACATTGTAACAATAAGTTCCAAATTTAGTAATGAAT